TGTCCTGGACCTTGCCCTTCATTAGCGCTGTGAGTTAGGTGGACTGCATGTTGAGGTGAAGGGAATCAGTTCTTTAATGACTTCAAGTTGTTTTCCTTGATGAGGATGGGAGCACCCGATTTTAAGTCTGGACAGCTGTATACTGTGTAAGTTTTTTGTGAGGAGGTGAGCCTCACTGCAGGTAAGCTGCTTGACTTAGTAGCAATCCCAGTTGTGTCCCCCTGGGGAAGGTGGAGCTCACTAAAAAGCAAAGGACTCTACCTAGTTTTCAGTTTTTTCTGTTTTAAATTTTTATTGTCAAGTTAAAGTCTGAATTTAATGTAATTAGCTTAAGGAGCTAATTTTGTGGTAGAGACAAAGACAAGAGCTATGCTGTTTGGGATAAATTCTTGGTGAGGGCATAAGCCAAAGCAGTGATTTGTGAAGAGAACCTCCAAATTGAACCCAATTCATATAAACTCAGAATTGTAGTTCTAAGTCATAGGTTATATTTTTATCTATTTTCCAGGATTATTGGGAGGAAAGCGCTTCAAAAATCTCAAAGCACTATGTGAATCTAAGTTTTTTTTTAAACTTTGACTTTTTTAACCTCTCATGTTAAGTTTTCAAGGAAGAAACATCTCCTTAAGAAATAGTCTATATAAAATTCATTAGGTCCTATATCCTCTTCTCTGTTTACGTAATGCTGTACTCAGCATTTATTTATAATTGGAGTAGGTCTTTATTTTTTTGGTGAGGCAGTTGGGGTTAAGTGACTTGCCCAGGGTCACACAGCTCGTGTCAAGTGTCTGAAGCTGGCTTTGAACTCAGGTCCTCCTGACTCCAGGGCTGGTGCTCTAGCCACTTCACCACCTAGCTGCCCCTGGGTCTTTATTTCTTAAACAGACAGTTGACTTTTTTTGCTTTTAATAATTTGTTAAATTTGTTTTCTCCCCTGCGCTGTTTGAGTCATCTAAGGAGAACTTGTTTTTTCCCCGAGTTGCTTTATGTGACTGTCTTCTTAGCATATGGTTATTGGAGCCAAAATGTGGAGTAAGGGATAGAATTGTGGCTGTTGGGCCCTGGGCATTGATTTTTGGGTTTTCTATTATAAGGAAGTAGAATTGGTGCATTTGCCTGAAATGAAAATGAACACAAAAGACCATTAGGATACATCAAATTCATCTCACTCTTCTTTTCTATAATTCTGTAGTGTTGCCTCAGTGTTGACACAAGGAATTAGATAAGAATTGAGAACAACTTAAACACTAATAATGTATTTTAAAACTGGATATGGCTGGCGTAAGAGAGGGGTGGTTGCTATATATGTTTTAATGGCTGATCCTGGTAGAGTTTAGAGTCCTGGCTTGAGGAACCTTCCCCCAGTGGAGTCTTTGTAGTTAAACTGAGGGGTGGCAATCTGTTGGGAGTGGGCTGGGATTGAATATCACCTTGGTAAGCAGACTTCAGTGTTTTTTTTGTGTTTGTTGCTCTGGTAAAGAAGATTTTAAACTTCCTGGTGTTCTTACACCTGCTTCCTGGTTAAATACTGGAGTCCTACAAGCCATCAAAACCGAAAGTATGGGTTCTGTGGCCAGGAAATAAACCTACAAGAATTTGTAGAAGAAAGTAGTGTTTCAATATGGGGTTAGCTAGCCTAGACAGCTGTTGATATTCTGTATCCACAAAGAGAGAAAACCAGGATAACTCTTCTACAGAATTTTTTTCCTTACTAGAAGTTTTCTCATCCATATTTTTTTTAAACCAGATTAGACATGGCCTAAACTAGCCCTCAAAGATATTCATCTTCCCTATTCCTAATTTTTTTTGTTGGTAGATGAGTGAGTGGAAGGGAAAAGAATAAATTTCAGCGTCTTTGTCATTCGCTCACTGAAGTGAATGACTTTTTTCTTTATTTCTTAGATTGCACATAATACTTTTTAATGGTATTAATTTTCAGATCTTGTTATTTTTTTTAATTGATGCCTTTTGTTTTCACATCACATTTCTCATTCTCCTTACCTATCCAAAAGTCCACCTCTAGGGAAGGGGGAAGTGTAAATAAATGAAGCCTAGGGAAAGAAATTGAAGACCTAAGGCACATAATAGTGTTTTCATCTTTGCTGCTGCTGAAAGAGCAGGGCTTCAGGAAAGAAGAGGCGCATTTGGGAGGTGAACAGTTTGTTTAAGAAATGGATTTGGGGGCAGCTAGGTGGCACAGTGAATAGAGCACCGGCCCTGAAGTCAGGAGGACCTGAGTTCAAATGGGGCCTCAGACCAAACACTTGACACTTACTAGCTGTGTGACTTTGGGCAAGTCACTTAATCCCAATTGCCAAAAAGAAAAAAAAGAAAAAAAAAGAAATGTATTTGGATTTCTGGACATCAAGGTTAAACTTGCCTAATTGAAAGTAATAGCATTTACCCCTAGTTTTTTCCCTTTTCTGGCCACATAGAATGAGTCTTATCCCTCTTCCACATGACAACTCCTTATATACTTAAAGAAAGCTACCATCTGCTCCCTCCACCCCAACTGTATGCTTCTCCATGCTTAATATCCTAGTTTCTTTAAATTATTGCATGTCATGAGCTCAAGGCCCATCACATTCCAGTTGCCTTTCCCTAGAGTTATTAGTTCCCTAGCTTATCAATGTCCTTAAACCTTGCTGCCTTGAAATTGATACAACTCTAGATGTCCTGTGACCAGCACAGAGTATACCAGGCCTGTCCTTTCCCCTATTCCTTGAAACTGTACTTCTCTTGATGAGTATCCCAAGACTGAATTAGCTTTTTCAACTACTGTGTCCTATTAAACCCCTCAGATTTTTTTTAAGTGCCATCTGACCATGCTTTTTTGAGAACTTGCAAAGCCTGTTTTTTTAACCCAAGAATAATTTATATTTATAAAATCTCTATTCTGTTTCTTACTCTATTTGGCCCAGCATTCTATCCTTTCAGGATCCTTTTTGATCTTAATCCTGGCATTGAAGGGTGTTAGCTATCCTCCTAACTCTGAAACATTTGCAAATTTTATAAGCGTGACTTTATCCCAGTTATTGATAAAAACACAAAACAGCAAAGGACCAAGCGCAAATCTCTGAAGCACTTCGCTAGAGATCTCTCAAGTAGCTGTGGAACCACTGATAACTGTTCTTTGGATCCACCCATTTAACTAGTTTGGAGAGCGTGTAATTATGGCTATTACATATATCTATTCTGTTTTTCCAAAGGAATAAAATGAGAGTCTTTATGGAATGAATGCTTTGCTAAAATTTAAGTAAGCTTAATCCGCATCATTCCTGCTCCACCCGTATCTATTAGTTTAGTAATCCTGTCAAAAAATAAATTAGGATCAGTTTGGCATGACCTATTATTTCTTTTTCAATCTCTCTGTATCTTTTATTTTTTTTTTTCAATGATGGAGCATTCCCCCCTCCCCATGAGGGGCAAGAAAAAAAGAAATATAAAATCCTTGTGTTATAAAAGCATAGTCAAGCAAACTGCTCCCACTTGTGTTTCTTGATTATGTGAGATAATTTCCTAATTCTTCCTCCATTTTCCTCCCCTAAAAAAATCCCCCCCCAATGTCATTTGATATCATCAAAACATAACAAAATCACTCCTAGGCCCTCTGTCTCATTTGAATTTTTCTGTGACCCCTGATGACATTAAGGTTCAGGAGGGACTCATATCATTTGTTACCTCTTTCATCAGAATGTAAATAGTTCATCCTTCTAAAAGTCTTTTCTGATCACCATTTATATTTACGTTATGTTGCTCTTATCTCCTGTGTTTGTATTTCACACTTTATATACAGCTCTAGTCTTTTCATTAGGAATGTTTAGAAGTCCTCTATTTCATGGGAGGTTTATGTTTTCCCTTGTAGGATTATACTGTATTTTGCTGGGTAGGTTATTTTTGGTTGTAGTATCTTTGCCTTTTGGAATCTTGCATTCCATTTTCTCTACTTCTTTAGAGTGGTTGTTGCTAAATCTTGGGTGATTCTGACTATGGTTTCTTGGTACATGAATTTTTTCTCTCTAGCTATTTGCAGCCAGAGAGCCAGATTGTTTGTCTTTGATTTGGAAGCTCTCAATTTTGTTAATGTTGTTCCTGGAGTTTTTATTTTGAGATTTTTTGCAGGAAATGATCAGTGGATTCTTTCTATTATCACTTTGTCTTGTTCTTATATGTCTGGGCAGTTTTCTTTCATGATTTCTTGAAATACGCTATTCTAGGACGTACGTGAGTGAGAGTGGTGTGTGTGTGTGTGTGTGTGTGTGTGTGTGTGTGTGTGTGTGTGTGTGTGATGGCTTTCAGATAGTCAAATGATTTTTAAATTCTCTCTCCTTGATCTGTTTTCCAGGTCAGTTGGTTTTATTATGAGATATATTACATTTTCTTCTATTTTTTCAATCTTTTGACTTTATTTTAATATTTTTTGTTGTTTCCTGGAATCATTAACTTCTGTTTGATTCATTCAAATTTTTAGAGGATCTTTTACTTGGTTGTAAGGTTTTGTGTCTCCTATGTTAAGTATTAATTCTTTTTTCATGTTCCTAATTTCTTGCAGCTCTAGTTTCTTTACTAATTCTTTCCTCTCTCACTATCATTTTAATTACAGTGCCATTTTAAAACTCTTACATAATTTCTTCCAGGAATTCTAATTGATCTTGTGGGCAAACTGCTTTTCTTTGAGGCTTTTCCTGTGGACATTTTCAAATTATTCTCTTTTCTCTAGGTTTATTTCTTGGACGTCCCCGGAATCATAATAGTTCTTTTTTTTTTTTAAACTAATTTTTGGTGTGGTTTTCAGATTGCAAGGGATCCACTCCCGCCTTATTTGAGAACCTTTCTTTGGGAGTGGTAGTGATGGTGCAGAGTCTTTGTTCCCACTTTTTCTTGCAGCCTCCAGGGACTGTACTGAAGACTTCTGTGAGAGAGGGGGACTTTCTTTGACTTGGGGAGTCCCAGGTCCCTTGTTTTCTATAGATTATGCTGAGGTTTTTCTTTTATCCCAGGTACCTTTCTGTCATCTGGACTGCCCCTTCCTCCAAGGATCAACCCAGTGAAAGCCCCTTCCTTGGCAACCTAAGTCTCTTCCTTCACTCCAGACTGCACTGACCACCATCCTCCTTGGATCAGACAGAGGTGAAATCTTGTCTTATTTTGCACTCCTTTCCCCCCTGCTCCATTTGAACTGAGTTGAGGCCCCTTCTGTCAGCCCAGCGATCCTTCTTTTTGCCTTGTATCTGGGTCTGAGATCTCCCTCTTCTGCGGGGATCAAACTATTACAGTTTAGGTCTTTTTTTTTTTTTAATGTAACAACTGGGCTAAAAACTGCTCTCGCGTTCTTTTCTTTGGAGTTGGCTGGAGCCTGAAGTTCTTCTCTTTGCCCGGGGAGGAGGTGCTCCCTTCTTCAGGGATTCAAATGAAGAGTTATGTGCAAAGGGAATAGGTCATGTCATGGTGTATGTGTGTAGGGGGCGTGGGGGAGGCTGAGCTGATCGACTTCCTTCTGCTCTGCCTTTTGGCTTGGTTTCTGGCATGATCAGATGGATCCATGCTTGTTTTTTATACCCTGCTTACTTTTCTAGATGGTCATGAACTTATCTCCAGCATTTCCCGAACTAGATAGATTCATAAAGAATTTATCGATCGCTCTGCCCTGGCACTGTGTTAAACTCAGGGAACACAAATGTAGTGTCTGTAACTAGTGCTAGATATGTATGTAATGTACATCCCTCTCCTTCATTTTCAAGTCTTTACGTGTTTTCTTTGCTGTTTATGATGTCGTTTGTGACTACTATTAATCACGTATCATGGTATAGGAAGAGTGGGTCATGGAACATCTTATTAGTAATAATACTAATTAAAATTTATAATCTAAATTCATTAACTGCATTATTATACCCATCATAACTATCATAACAGTATAATATATTAATTTAATAATATATGATATTTAGATATGTATTATAAACTGTGGTTTAAAATTTCAAAATGTTTCAACATCCATTATGCCATTTAATCTTTACAACCTTCTATGGTGATAGTAACATACCAGTTTTCTTTATAGTTGAGAAAATTGGGGTTGAGGTTAAGTGGCTTGCCCAAGTTCATATTTTTTTTTTATTAATTTATTTTATCATCAATCACTTCCATAAGTTTTTGAGTTTTAAATTTTTCTCCCCCTCCCTTCCTGCCTCCCTCCCCAAGACGGCATGCAATCTAATAAAGGCTATACATATACATTCCTATTAAACATATTTTCACATTAGTGATGTTGTAAGTGAGAATTGGAACCAATAGGAGGAACCACCAGAAAAGAAACAAAACTCAACAGAAGAGGAAAAAAAAATAGTAAATAGTATGCTTCAATCTGCATTCAAACTCCATAGTTCTTTCTTTGGATGTGGATAGCATTTTCCATCATGAGACCTTTGGAGATGTCTTAGATCCTTGCATTGCTGAGGAGGGCTAAGACTATCAATATTAGTCATTGCACAGTGTGGCTGTTAGTGTGTACAACATTCTACTGGTTCAGCTCACTTCACTCAGCATCAGTCCATACAAGTCTTTCCAGGTTTTTCTGAAGTCTGCCTGTTCATCATTTCTTATAGCACAATAGTATTCCATTAGATTCATATACCTCAACTTGTTCAGCCATTCCCCAATTGATGGGCATTCTCTCAATTTCCAATTCTTTGCCACCACAAAAAGAGCTGTTATAAATATTTTTGTACATGTAAGTCCTTTTCCCATTTGTATGATCTCTTTTGGATATAGCCCTAGAAGTGCTATTGCTGGGTCAAAGGGTATGCACATTTTTATAGCCCTTTGGGCATAGTTCCAAATTGTTCTCCAAAATGGTTGGATCACTTCATAACTCCACCAACGATGCATTAGTGTTCCAATTTTCCCACATCTTCTCCAACATTTATCATCTTCCTGTTTTGTCATGTTGGCCAATCTGATAAGTGTGATGTGGTACCTCAGAGTTGTTTTGATTTGCATTTCTCTAATCAATAGTGATTTAGAGCATTTTTTCATATGACTATAGATGACTTTAATTTCTTCATCTGAGAACTGCTTGTTCATGTCCTTTGACCATTTGTTAATTGGGGAATGACTAATATTCTTATAAATTTGACGTAATTCTCTATGTATTTTAGAAATGAGGCCCTTATCAGACCAAGGTCATGTTGTTAGTAGTGAGTGGTGGTACTGGAAATGTCTTGGTCATTTTACTAATGAAAGGAGGCCAGTACTCCATTCACAATACCTGCTGTTAGCCTTCCAAAAAGATGGCATGCTAGATATAGCAGATATGGTCCCCATTCACAGGGGCTTGAAGGACTAAGTTGCCATTCTTTCTTTTTCTTTTTCTTTTCTTTTTTTTTTTTGGGGGGGGCAAAGGGACGGGATGTCATACGTTTTCATAAAAACATGCATGCATTTTATTTGACTTCCTTTATCTTTCATGAAATACTAAGCCAGAGAACTGCTTCAGAAGCAGCTGCTAGCCCTCATATTGGTTGATAAGGGTCTAAAAGGTCAACTATAGCTCCTATGTCTCCTGTCTTTCACCTGTGCATCTGATCAAACAATAGACTGCTGTCATGGAAACAGCTGTCATGTTCTGTACAACATTCCATCTAACCTGAGGAGGATATGAACCACAGTAACAATTGGACACTTCTGAAACATCTTATTTATGTACAAATTCCCTCCTTTGGGAAATTTGGAAGACTGAAAGAGGAATAGAATTAGTGGAATGTTTTTCAAGAATTTTCAAAGGTCTTAAAATAAGCTGAAAAAACTGGTCCTCTGAGCCCAGTTCTAGAAGCAGATAAATTCCAAATCTGCTACATACAGTAAGGCTTTCCTCCTTTCCTCTGATCTCTTTCCATTTTCTCTTTCAATTTATTTTAACATCCCCCTTTCATGGTCTTGCCTTTCTAAAAAGTTAATTCAGGCTTCCTTACTAGCTCCTGGCATGAAAATCAGCAGGGTTGCTGGACCTAATTTACTTTATTTTTCTTCTGTCTTTCCTTTCTTTGCTCCCTCTAACCACCTGCCGCCCCCCCCCATCTCTCCAAACTGTCCCTGTCTCCCAATCACAATGTAGAGTATGAGCCACTGTGGCAAGTAGCTTTAGAGACATGTCTGGGACAGTGGTGATTTGGAACTATTTTGGGCTTGTACGTTTAGATTAGACATTCTCTCAAAGCTATAAGCAGAAGTTCTTGAGCCAATGGGTCTTTTTTTTTTTTTGCAGACTGGGTGAAGGGGAAATGTAATAAGAGGATGGAAGGAGTGCTGATACAGGAGAACTCTGCTCTTGCTGAATTTGTATGAGAAGAAAAGTTATCCCTCAGAGAGTTCAGTCTATGGCTTCATAGCACAGCCATTGATTCTTGATCCCTCCGCTACCTGGGGAGGAGATGGAGTTATGTGAGAAAAAGAGCCTGAAAGAAGGGAGCTTTAGTTATGAGACTCTGGGGATGGCAATCAGGGGCTGAATGAAGAAACAGGGATTTATCTACATATGCTGTAGGTGAGCAGGATGCTGACTGCTGGAGACTAGTTAGGACTGGCATGGAGAGGAGGTGCTTCCATGTCGGTGCACTGGTCTCTCTATCATAGTTATAGATCTACGTTCTCTTTTCTCAGTGATCTGCGTGTGCTTTTCCCTTCAGCTCCTCTTCACTTTCTGTCCCTGATACACGCATTATACTCTTTGTCTCGGTGGGAATTGGCAGGGAGCAAGCAGAGGGCTATTTGCCGTGATTATATCTAGGGTAGAACTTTGTGAAATTACAACATAAGGCGTGCCAAAAGTTGTAATGCAGTTTTAAGAGGTCGGGGCTTAAAACTGCACTGAGACTTTTGGGACACCCTGTATAGCACTGCTAAGCACAGTGACCTCCATGGTAGTCTTGTGATTCCCACTGAACAAAATGACCTTTCAAATACATTTCAAAAACATCCTGAGGGACTGTGAAGATTGTTGAACTGATCAACGGTACTAAGCAAGGAAAACGAATTTGGAGTCAGAATATTTTAATAAGCAGCTCAAAAATCCTAACCCACAGATATGTAATAACTAGAGTGTCGTCATTTCTGGTCTTTGTGGGATCCTGGTCTCATCCCTTCTTTTTTTGTTTCCTTCTGATTGCCTTCTAGATTCTTTCCCCATGGTCTTGGATGTTTGACTTCGTGGGATGAGGTTCTGGCTATTTGCAGCCAGCAGAAAGCCAGGCCAGGTGATTCAGGACAAAGTGTGTATGTGGGCCATCTGGTGCTGCCAGAACAAGAAACGGGCCAACTCAGCTGAAGCAGAGGTAAGAGTTTTCATTTCTGTGTCCATTTGCATCCCATAGGATTCTTAAGGATTTGCCTAGGCCATCGTACCAGGTGAGAGAGAGGGAATAGTAACTAATTGGGGCTCAACATAAAAGGAATTAATAATTATTTTGGTGAATTAAATCGATTTTGCAGTTTTCCTGGCCTAGGAAAGTGTGGAGTAGGGTCTTTAGTGGCCAGTCTGAAAATACATAGGCTCTTTTTTTTATTCTCCAGTGCAACTGGGAAGGTCAAAACAAGTAATTTGGGGCTCAGCTGAACAACTCATTTGTTCTTCCTTGGTAAGAGAAAATTGTGAAAAATTGAAGGGGGAACCCCCAAAGGAATACAGAGCCTAAGGTGAAGGCTGAAGGGAAAAACCCCCCCCCCAGCAAAATGAGAACTATGAAAGGTACACAGGCATTTAGATGAGTGCTTGACATTTTTATACTTAACCACATTGTTAAGTTCCGGGTCTTCCTCCCCCTTTACTACTTCAGTGAGTCTTCTTGGGCCCCCAAGTTGGTTCTACTGACTTCTTGGCAAAGATTAAATATTAAAGTTACTGTAAGGTCCCCTATTACTGAAGCTTCATCATTTTTTACAAGATAACTCTACTCTCTGTTGTTTACAGCATTATAAAGTGTAATAAATAAAGCTGAAGCTATATTTGTCAAAGTGCATGCACACAGCCTTTTAAAAAAATTCTGGACCTATAATAAATATATCTTGCTGCTTAATTCATAGCATTTGGTAACTTCAAGCAACTCCTCTGTCATTGACTTATGACTTATATAGACTCCTTTTCTCCTCATGGTGTTTGAGGGAAGGTGCTTTCAGTCAGGTCTTCTGGCTGTTTTCCTAGTCTTCCCAGGACACTAGCAGGTGGTGGCTGTTGTCGAGTCCTGTCTGACTCTTCATGAAAACCCCATTTGGAGTTTTCTCCGCCAAGATGCTGGGATGGTTTGCCATTTCCTTCTCCAGCTCATTTTACAGAAAAAGAAACTGAGGCAAATGGGGTTGAGTAAGACTTGCCTAGGGTCACATAGCTATTAAGTGTCTGAGGCCAGATTTGAGCTCAAGCAGTTAAATGCAAACAAATAACTAATTGGATGAAAACAAGCTGTGGCATATTTTGTGGAGAAGGGGTGTGTATGTGTGTGTGTGTGTGTGTGTGTGTGTGTGTGTGTGGTGTGTGTGTGTGTATTTGAAGAACATGCAGATGTTGGATTCTAGGTGTTTTCTCTTTATACCTGATAATCAAAATAGTAGCATGTTGGTCTGGTCCCTAACTGTCATCTTTGAATAAGACCAGAGAGGGCTCATTGGAGCACCACAGGGGAGAGGCTGGCTCCGTTAATTTCTTTGCTTTTTGTGGGGTTTGTGGGGAGGCTGCGATCTGTTGTAAGCAGGGGGCTTTACTGTTGGCCATGACATTCCTGATGATTTTCCTTTGGCTTTCGGAAGGCAGTGATTTATTGAGATTGGACCCTCAGAAAATCACTGCTCTCAGCCAGCACTGCAGTCTGTTAAGTAGGCTTTGGACTTGTGCTCTGTGGCTGTCCTTTTATTATACCGTGGTGGTTCCTGGTGTGGATACTTCCAACTTCCACATTGTTCTCTGTGTGACATAGTGAAGAGGGAGCCTTCCTTACAGTGAGGACTCTCTGTATTCAAAGCCTGTCTCTGGCATCTCTGAGGCTGGATGACTCTGGATGGTTTATATGGTATGTTTGAGCCTTAGTTTCCTCATCCCAGATGTGGAAATAACAGTATCTTTAACATATACCCCACAGAGTCATTGGTAGTCCCAAATGAAATACTTTATGTAAAGCCCTTTTCCAGCTTCAGAGTTCTAACTAGATGGCAGTTGTTGGTGGTGTCATTTTGTATTCTCCATCCTGCATCATGTCCGTGGACTGTTGTCAAGAGGCCCTAACTCTCTGAAACCTTTACCATTTGCTGTTGGAGACAGTTTGTTTTGTTGCTACTTTTCCTATGGATAATTGTAACTCAGTAATGAAGGATGGAAGAATATTATTTTTACGGTAGTGTTTAGTATCTGATAGCTATTAGCCAAAAGGTACACGTCCCTAGTGAGGTACTGTAAATACATTTTATCTGTGCTATTACCTGCTGTTTTGTGAATGTGTCCCTAAAGCATTTTAATCTTGTTTTTCATACTTGTCTCCAAGAGAGGGATTGTTCTGATTTGCAACTTTGGGGGATAATTACCACATTCATTAATTTCTGCTCTTTCCTTCCCCTCCATTTATTACTGCTTCCTTGAGAAAATCTTTCCCTAAATCTACACTAGTAGGAGATAAGTCACTTGATTAAAAGGAAGCATTTTATCTCTCTCTCAGGACTGTAACAAGAGAGACAAGTTCTCCTGGGTCCTGACTGATGATATGTGGCTGCAACTGCTCTTAGAGCTATAACTGGGGCAGGTCAGCTAGGGCTTTGTGCAAGGACAGTGAGAGAACTGCAGTCCTTCAGCTCTGTGTGTGTGTGTGTGTATGTGTATGTACATATACATATATATCTGTATATATGTATACCCCCCACAAACTCTGCTTAAACCGCCCCCCCCAATTTAGCAAGAATCCTTGGTTAAAATAGGAAGGTACCAAATAGAAGCTAGGTCAAAGCCTCTCCCCATCCCTCACCATCAAAGGCCTCAAGTATATATATATATATATATATATATATATATATATATATATATATATAAATAGGGTCTCTGTCTTCCCACCACTATTTTGCTCCCCTCCGTGAACTGAGTGGTCATTTATGGTTCTGGCTGCTCCTGCAAGCAAGGATAATCAATCAGCAAGTATTTATTATGCACTGTGCTAGGCTCTGGGGATAGAAGTACAAAGAATGAAATAATCCCTACTTGCAATTCTAATGAGGGAGACAAGCACACATAAAAATAAATACAGCATAAATATAAAGTTAATAAATAACAATATATACAAAGTAGTTAAATACAAGGTAGTTTGAGAAAAAGGCATGACAATTGGAGGAAAGGGGAGGGAACAGGCATTTATTAAGTGCCTGGTATGTGCCAGAGACTGCTAAGTAGAGAGGCTTCATGTAGAAAATGGTGGCTTAGCCACATCTTAAAGGAAGAGAGGGACTTTGAGGTGGAGATGTAAGAAAGGAGTGCTTTCCAGGATTGAAGATGGGCAATACGGAAGCATAAGGTGAGGAATGAGGTGTTGTGTGTGAGGAACAGACAAGGCCATTTGTTTGGATTGCAGAGAGGAGTAGTAGGAGCAACATCCAGGAAAGATAGGATGGGGCCAGGTTGTATAGAGCTTTAAAAATTAAATAAAAGGCTGCTGGATCACATGAGCCACAGGATGGTGGACTGGGCACTTTCTGGGATCCCCACAATCTCTGAAAACCTCATCAAAACAGAAATTATGTGCCAAAGATAAAACAGCTTCAGTTCTCTCCATGGTCTGGGACACCCAGAAACAAAAAAAAAACCCCAAACAAATAAAAAACAAAACCCCCAGGAACTGCTGTTCATTGACCCTAAGCTCACTCAGTACTCCTCCTCCACTTTGCAGCAAGGCTGCCCTTGCAGAGCCAAGGACATGATTCTAACTTACAGCAAAACCTACTCTTGTGCTCTGGTCCCCCTTCCCTCTTTCTGGTGCTGTGGAGAAGCTGATTGTAGGTTGCAGAAGTTGGCCTGGATAGCAGGCTTCACCATAGCCCTTAAGGAGCAAAAACCTGGAAGCACTGGTGCTGCAAAGCTCAGAATTGCCAGTGCTGGGGAAAACTACCTCTGAACTGTCAGGCCAGAGAACTAAGGAGCAGAGGGAGTGGAACAGGTCACCAGGACAGGTGACCCTGCCTTTGGCAAGCTATGCAGTTTTCCACCACACGTGAGGAAGAGAGCACAGCATCTAGTTGGGGCCACTGACCCCTCAAAAGTCAGTTTGGGTAATGAATTGCCCTGTGTGGGAGGAGGCTGAGATGCTTTGAGATCCATCTTCTAAGGAAAACACAATCTGAGGAGGGGGAGTCAGGAAGTGAGTTATGTGGAATATTGTATTCCATACCCTCCAATCTTTTAATGTAGAAGCTGCAAGGTCCTGTGTAATCCTGACTGTGGTTCCATGATATTTAAATTGTTTCTTTCTGGTTGCTTGCTTGCAGTATTTTTTCTTTGATCTGGTAATTTTGGAATTTGGCTATAATATTCCTTGGCATTTTCAATTTGGGGTCTCTTCAGGAGGTGATCCGTAGATTATTTTTTTTCCCTCTGGTTCTGGGGCCTCAGGGCAGTTTTCTTTGATGATTTGCTGAAGGATGTTGTCCTGGCTCTTTTTTTCATCATGGTTTTCAGGTAGACCAATAATTTTTAATTTGTCTCTCCTGGATCTGTTTTCCAGGTCAGTTGTTTTACCAGTGAGGTATTTTACGTTTTCTTCTATTTTTTCATTCTTTTGTTTCTGTTTGACTGCTTCTTGATCTCTCTTAGAGTCATTAGCTTCCACTTGCCACATTTAATTTTTAACAAATGGTTTTTCTTCTATTAGATTTGTACCTTCTGGGGCAGCTAGGTGGCGCAGTGGATAGAGCACCGGCCCTGAAGTCAGGAGGACCTGAGCTCAAACCCAGCCTCAGACCAAACACTTGACACTTACTAGCTGTGTGACCCTGGGCAAGTCACTTACCCCCAACTGCCTTAAAAAAAAAAAGATTTGTACCTTCTTTTCAATTTGACCCACTTTACTTTTTAAAGAGTTCTTCTCTTCAATGGGTTTTTGTGCCTCCTTTTCCATTTGGCCATTTTTACTTTTTAAGGAGTTTTCTTTTTCTTTTTTTTTTTTCTTTGGTTATTTTTAGGTAGTTGGGCTTAAGTGACTTGCCCAGGGTCACACAGCTAGTAATTGTTAAGTGTTTGGTCTGAGGCTGGGTTTGAGCTCAGGTCCTCCTGACTTCAGGGCTGATGCTCCATCCACTTTGCCACCTAGCTGCCCCCATAATCCTGTCTCTTTTGCCTTCCAGAATATCATACTCCATGGCCTCCGGTCTTTTAATGTAGAAGCTGCTAAATCTTGTGTTGTCCTGATTATATTTCCACGATACTTGAGTTGTTTCTTTCTGGCTGCCTGCAATATTTTCTCCTTGACCTGGGAATTCTGGAATTTGGCTGCAATATTCCTAGGAATTTTCCTTTGGGGATCTCTTTTAGGAGATGATTGGTGGATTCTTTCAATTTCTGTTTTGCCCCCTGGTTCTAAAATATTGGGGCAGTTTTCCTTGATAATTTCTTGAAAGGTGATGTCTAGACTCTTTTTTTGACCATGGCTTTCAGATAGTCCAATAATTTTTAAGTTCTCTCTCCTGAATCTATTTTCCAGGTCAGTTGTTTTTCTAATGAGATATTTCACATTGTCTTCTATTTTTTGATTCTTTTGGTTTAGTTTTACAGTGCCTTGATTTCTCATATAGTCCCTAGCTTCCAATTGCTCCATTCTAATTTTTAAGGAAGTGTTTTCTTCAGTAAGCTTTTGGACTTCCTTTTCCATTTGGCCAGTTTTGCTTTTTAGGGCATTCTTTTCCTCATTGGCTTTTTGGACCTCTTTTGCCATTTTGGTCAGGCTATTTTTTAAGGTGTTATTTTCTTCAGTATTTTTTGGGTCTCCTTTAGCATCACTCTCAGTTTTTCCTCTGCTTCTTTTACTTGCTTCTCAGAATCCTTTTTGAGCTCTTCCATGGCCTGGGCCCAATTCGTATTTTTCTTGGAGGCTTTGGATGTAGGTGCTTTGGCTTCATTGCCTTCTTCTGGCTGTATGTTTTGATCTTCTTTGTCACCAAAGTAAGATAATAATAGTTTGACTCTTTTTGCGCTGCTTGCTCATGATCTCAGCCAATTACTAGAGTTATAAACTCTTTGTTAAGGTAGGAGTCTGTTTCTGGTGTGGAGAATGTACTGTTCCAAGCTTTAGGGGTTTTGTGCAGCTGTTTTCAGAGATACTTCTAGGTACCTGTAAATTTTCAGTTCTTCCAAGGTGCTATTATCAAGGGTGAGATGTTTACTCCTTCCCTGGCCTGAGCTCTGCTCTATGAGTGACCACAAGCACTCTTTCCTGTGTTGGAACTGTGAGGAGGATTTTCTCCTCACTGCCACTACAAGCTCCACCACGCCAGCACTCCTCCTCTCCCCAGGACTGCCACCTAGAACTGTGACCCAGAACCAAGCAAGGGCAAAGAGATCCCTTCAATCCCCCTCTGATCAGCCACTCGATTTCCCCTCAGTGTGTGGGCCAAAAGCTCAGGAAGCCGCCACCGTCCTGGGGCTAAGCTTGGGGAATGGGGCTGGGACCCCACGCTTCTCTCTCACCCCAGAAACAGGTTTTTCCCACTGACCTTCTAAGTTGTCTTTGGCATTTGTGGGTTGAGAAGTCTGGAAACCGCTACAGCTGCCCGATTCAGTCCTCTGAGGCCTGCTTCAGGTTCGCTGTGGCCTGTGCAGCCACGCCAAACTGCGCTCCTCTCCCAGCCCAGTGCAATATGCCTTTCCACTCAACCATCCAGGTTGTCTTGGTCTGGAAATTTGTTTCACTTTGTCTTTTTGTGGGTTCTGCTACTTTAGAATTTGTTTAGAGCCATTTTTTACGGGTATTTGGAGGGGTTTTGGTGGAGAGCTCAAGCAGGTCACTGCTTTTACTCTGCCATCTTGGCTCTGCCCCTGTTTCCTGACTTTTTCAAAAAACAGGTGATCTCTCCTGTAGGAGTGCAGGGGGCACTTACCCAAGCTTTTTCTTCTGCTCACCTGGGCCTTGCCCTCCAATGTTTGGCTTCTGCTCACCTGGGCCTTGCACAGGGATGTTTTGCTGCTGGAGAATGTTTTGTCAGCCTGGAGCTTTGCCTCCTGAAGTTGTGCTTCCCAGATTTGTGCTGAGGTACCAAGTGATTTGGCTGCTGGAGAACGCTGTAGATGTTGCCCATGGTGGTTTTTCAAACTGGTGTCTACCTGTTCCCCTACCTGTACTGAGACTCTTGGGGGGTCGTGGTGTTGGAACTTGCCTTCTCCATCACCCTGGGGCTCAGTATCTCCCCCTGGTATGTTGAGGTGGGGCTTGCTGCTGGCTTGCTGGGGTGCCTCCTGTCCTATACTGCTACCCCTTCCCCAGAATGAGTGGGGCCTTTCCTGTTAATCTCCTAAGCTGCTTGGGCTACAAGACTGCTGCGTCCCATCTTTCCACTGGCTCAGGTGTTCCAAAGTTTTTCCTGGATTGAGATTTTCTGGGCTTTCAGAGGTCCGTAAGGGAGGGTGAGAACGACTTACTTCTTACTCCACCATCTTGGCTCCCAGAATCGGAACCCCAAAAGAAATTCTTTTTGGAAAGAGGTACAGAAAAAAAAATGTAAAAACCCTAGTTTTTAAGAACCTGGACAGGACTTTAGAACAGAACTAGCTAAAGGGGAGGGCAGTGTCAAATGAGAAGAGAAGGTCAGGGTGAGGGGAAGAGAGTCAGTGGGAATAGGGCTACCTTAGAAAAAAAGTTAAAGTAACTGAACTTAATATGTGATTATAATAGGAGAGGAAACTTGAAATTGAAAAGCTTCTACACAGACAACATTAATGTGTCTAGCATAAGAAGGGAAGTGGTTGAATGAGAAAAAATAATCTTTATATCAGATTTCGTTAATAAAGTTTTGGTATCTAAGATACATAAACAGTTTACACATACACACACACAAATATGTGACTAATAGCCATTTAGATACATGGTCAAAGTATATGAACAGTTCTCAAAAGAGGAACCACATGAAAAAGTGCTCCGAATCACTAACAAAAAGAGAAATGCAAATGAGAACAACCGTGAGGTTTCACTTCATACCTGTAAATTGGTAAAATTCACAAAAAAGTGGCAACAAGTGATGTTGGAGGGGTTGTATAGAAAGAGACAGGCACACTAATACATTATTGGTGGATCTATGGAATGGTATGACCATTTTGGAAAGCAGTTTGGAATTTTCAAATACAATGACTAAAATATCTATACCTTTTGATTGAGAGACTCCCATTATTGAGCTTATACCCCAAGGAAGCCCTCAGTAAGAAAAATGTCCCTCTATATTCCAAAATATTTATAGGTACGAATTGAAAACAAAGTATGTGCCCATCAACTGTGGAATGGCTAAACAAATTGTGGTATATAAATATAATTGAATATTACTTTGCTGTAAAAGATGATGTGTGACAAATACAGAGAAGCATGGAAAGATCTATGTGAACCTCTGCAGAGTGAAGTAAACAGATCCAAGACAATATATACAATAACTATACTACTTCAGTGTAAATGGAAAAAAAAGACACACCCAAAATTAAAAACTAATTATAACAAAATTATAAAGATCAGGTGGGACTTGAACGAAGCGGTATTAGAAGACACCCCCAGCCTATGCCTTTGTGGGGGTGGGAGGTCCACAGGTGTTACACATTGTATATGTTTTCAGACTACTTATATTTATTGATCAGTTCTGACTTTCCAAGAACGATTGGGGAAGGGATGCAGAGGATGCTATGGTGATGGAAAAAAACAGAAAATATCAACAAAAGCTTATTTTAAAAAATAAAAAACTAAATAAAAGAATTTATGTTTTTATCTAGAGGCAATAAGGACGTACTGGAATGGAGTTGGGGAATGACATGCACGGTCAGATCTTCACTTAAATAAAATGACTTTGGCAGCAGTGTGTAGGATGGACTTGGGGCAGAGAGAACTTGGAGGGTTGTTGAAGTGATCTAGGCAAGAGGTGGGCCTCATTTAAATTGGCAGTTGTGTGAATGGAAGGAAGGGTTTAGATGCAAGAGATGTTTTGAAGGTAGAAATGGTAAGATTTGATAATTAATTGAATATATGGGGTAAGGTAGAGTGAAAAGTTGAGAATAAAGCTAGGATTACAAACCAAAGATACTGGAAGTATGGTGGTTGACTTTGTCGGAAATAGGGAAGTTTAGAAGAGGAGATAAAAGTAATAAATTCTGTTTTAGACATGTTGAGTTTGAGATATTTCCAGGACATCCTTTTTGAAATATCCAATTAAGCAGTTGGCTATCTGGGACTAAACTCAAATTAGAGGGCTACCTTGGTTTTGTTCAGTCAGGCCACTGGCTGGTCAGAAAAGTTGGATCCAGTTATGGTGAGCAGAAAGTTTGAGGCAGAGATTGTTCTCCTTAGCAGTGGACTGTTATATTCTTTCTTGCCAAAAAGTAAATGTTGATGTTGATGTTAAAATGTTAATATGTGATATTACAAACATTTCTTGTGTCCTTAGGAAATATCATCTGGAGAACATTCTGGATAGAAAGGTAGGCAAAGGATATAAGTCGTATTCCAGCCTTCACTTTCCTTATCCGTACCCTTAGTGTCTGTGTTTCTGGCTTTCCAAACTTTAGCACGAGGCCTCAGCTATAGCTCTCCCCTCGAACCTCCTCCAGCACCTGGGGCCTTCTCACCCTGAAACATCCCTTCGTCATGCTAGTCCCCTTCTCCCGTTGGTGAGTTCTATCTTGGGCTTCTATTTTGAGGAGGGACCCAGGCTAGCCAACCTTCATTTATTTGGGATAATTTGTAAATATATTCCTTCTGGTTATGTAATCATCCTGGAAATAGTGGGCCAAGTCAGACATGATGGTAGCAAATTGATGTGCAGACAGAGGGGTGTGGGTGTAAGACAGAGAGAGAGAGAGAAAACTAGAAATTATGTGAATTTATTGGGATTTGGAAGGAGAGAATAGTTTAAAAGAAGCTGAATGGAAGAAGGGAGTTGGAAAGAATTTCTAGTTAGTCAAGGAGAGAGAAAGGAGGTAGTATATCTGGGTTTATAGAAGGGAGGTTTAGGGTATGTATAGAATATTTTTAGCATGAACCTGGGCTTGTGCCTGGATGACCTGCCGTAAAAGACCTTATTTTCTTGAGGACTGAGATGTAGAGGAGTGTAGGAGAGGGCCTCAGCACCTTGAGGGTAGCATGATGTAGGAACTGAGAAGAAAAGCTATAAAAAATTTCTCTGGAGTTCTCAGCATTTGTCAGAGAAAGCCTCTGGTGTTTCTTTTGAGACCCCCAGACTTAAGGGAAACTTTGAGCATCTGGTATTCAACACAGAGAGTCTTGCCTCCAGCTCCACTTTTTACACCTCATAACCCTTTCACATCTTTTTAAAATTCCTCACCTCCTACCATTCCATCTCCTTGCCTTCCCCATTTCAGCAAGAAATGGAAATTTTTCATGATAATGTGAAATCAATAGGAAAGCTTGGCAAAAAAAAAAAGAGTAAGAAATAAGGAACCCCTTTCTCTACCCTTCTCCCCAACCAGGGAATTTTAAAAATTATATATGTTACAGTATCCTTAGGGTTTCCTTTCCTGCTCTTTTGAAAGTCTCCCTAGTAACCCAAATCCAACAGAGACACTTTGGGAAGATAATTCTGTCTGGCGGGAGCTCGAGCTCCATGTTATGAGCTTTTTGATTTTCTTTTCGTCAGTGGTGTGTTGGAGAGCTGACAGATGAGTCTGAGCTCATCTGAACCCTGTTACTGACTGAGTTATCTTTGTGAATCTCTGTGTTTTCTCCTTGTACCTGTCTAATGAAAGCCAAATTTGATTTTTAATCAAGTAGATGAATGATATTTTTTCTCCTCAAAAAAAAAATCCTGTTCCTATTAGGCATAACTTAATTTTTTTTTAAGGGTACCGATAAACTAGGGACAGTGGTCCTTTTGAAATTAGGCCAAGTCAGAAAATATGGAGGAAGAATCTACACCCCCTCACACTCTGCCTTTTTTTCTGGTTCCAGGTTTAAGAGATGGAGTTTGACTAAGTTTCTCTTTCCCCCTTGTATCTTCACCTGAGGTATTAGAGAAAAAATACTTCTAAAGGTTTAATGAAAGGAAGAGTCTTGGCTGTTTAGAGGAAAATAAAGTCCAGTTAAAGGTGTCTGCTGGGGCAGACAACAATAGTGGCTGGGGGAGGCTTAGATAGGCATTGATAACCTCACTTCTAGACCCCAGTTCCTGCTTTGTCATTTGTTTTGGGGAAAAGAAAAGTCTTCAAAGACAGTCAGCTAGTATTCATTGTGCCTTCATGTGATAAAATACATCTGCATAATTTTTACTTGTTTAAATCTGTAAAGTTAGAAAAACCCACCTGATTTCTCCCTGTGTTCTGCCATTGTCCCTTCTTTATTCTCCTTCCCTGCCACTTTATTCTCTTGGCTCTCTGTCCATCCCCTCTCCCCCCTAATTCCTTGAGCTGTTTCAAGCCTAAGTCCCAGGCTGTGGAGGGCAGTGATTGAGGTATTTTACTGAGTTACGGAAAAATGGCTGAATTATGATCTGCCTTGTTGGAGAAAACACCAGTCATATCACTGGATCACAAATGCTTTGAAGTATAGTGGTCCACAGTACAGTTAGGCTTAGGAAACATAGCTTTAATCTTGTTTTCCATTCTTTCCCTCCAGAGTGGCAGTGTGTTTGACCTTCCAGGGGTCAAATTACTGCTGTTCAACATAATCTCTCCCACTTTGGATGGGAAAAGAGAGGGAGTAGAAATGAAGATAGATGCTTGACACTTAAGCTCAGCAACCTTTCATGGTTAATGTATATGGGGTGGGGAAGTCATGTTTTCCTTGCCTGTTACTTGATTACCATAATTATAGGTCTGGCTTTGAGCTGCCAGAGAGTAGACATCTTTAGCGAACTCACAAAGAGCTCAAACTCAGGTTTCCTTTGTGTAGCATTTGGATGGGACTTTTTCCTAATCTTGTGATCAAAGTACATTTAACTAGAATATTCTTAAAGACTCAGTATCCTGAGATAGTTGGTATTTAGGGAGCCATGGACCAAGCAAGTTAGGTAGAAGACCGTCTTCTCCAGAGCCGGGTGCTCTATCCACTATGCCACCTAGCTGCCCCTATTTTCTCTTTTTCTGTTGAAGGAATCACTGTTTTTCCAGTCTCCCACGTTTGTAACCTCCGTATTTTCTTCAGCTTCTCATTCTCCTGAGCCGTACATACCCAGTTAGTTGCCAGATCTTGCCTTTTCTAAACCTTTGTCTGACCCCTTCTCTCCACTCACAAAGGCTGTTAAGCGGTTGCTTGAACTTGTCTTTTTGAGTTGCCACATTTTCCAGAAACACTGAACCTAGAGCATGCAGGAGGCCCTGAATGTGTCAAGGATGAAGTTCCCCCTGAGCTGACATAATTTGTTGTTGCACCCCAAGCTGGTCTCCATGTGTGTCCTTGGGAAGCAAGATAAGGTGCCCGTCAGTCTGTGCCTAGCTGGGATAATGCTTGTGCAGCTGGGGTCTTTTTGCAGATTAGCAGGCCCTACTGCCTTCATAAACTAGCAGTTTGAAGGGGAAAAGAATGAGGCTTTTGCCATCACCTTGTTCTTCCATGTGGGAAGTGGCCTTGTCTTTCTTCCCCACCTTTGCTGCATTGTTCCTCCTCACTTGTCACATCCCTTCCTGGTGTTCTCTCCTCCCTGGTGTCCTAGACCAAAGGTGTCAGACATAGCCAGCAACACTCATGAGTATATCCAGAACCAGACTGAAATGTAATTGGGAAATATTTAACAAAATAAATAAAAATACGGTAGAACATAGACAATGTTAATGTGTGGTTTTCTTAGTATGCAGCCCTCAGGGATCCTTATGTATAGTGTAGTGGCCCCTTTCCTATTTGAGTTTGATACCATTGCCCTGGAGAGTAATAGGGAGGTTTTAAAAGGGAAGAGTTTTGGGGGGGAAAGATGAGTTCTGTTTTGTACATGTTGAGTTTGAGACATCTGTGTATGAGACTTTAGTTTGAGATGTCTGATAGGCAGTTGGTTATTCAGGATTGGAGGTCAGGAGGGGAAAGCTAGGTGGTGCAGTGGATAGAGCACTGGCCCTGAAGTCAGGAGGACCTGAGTTCAAATCCGGCCTCAGACCAAACACTTGACACTAGCAGTGTGACCCTGGGCAAGTCACTTAACCCCAGTTGCTTTAAAAAAAAAAAGATTGGAGATCAAGGGAGAGGTTAGGGATGAATAAATAGATCTGAGAACTATCTGCTTAGAGGGGACAAAAATGAGTCATTCCTTTTATCAAAGAAAAACAATTTTTAAAAAATAGCTGACACATTAACTTCAACTGATAGTGTATGCACTGTTCCCTTTCTACCTTTCCAGTCTTTTTACATATTCCTGTATGGAATAGATTAAAGATGATAACCAGAAATTTATCACGACCCTTCTAGGGGCAATGTCCTCCCCCTCTCCTAAAGGAATTAGGCCAAGGTCCAGTTCTTCGGAAGAACCCTCTTCTATTCAAAGAGAGGTACTCAGTTGACTTTTATTCAGTTTGGATTCTAGATTTGAATATAGATCTTTGGGAGAATTCCTGGAGGAGAATGGTGAAGAAGAAGGAATAGAGATATAGTTGCTCAGTATTAGTTAATCCAGACTGCATCTTTTCCTGATTCAAGATTCCTATAAATGTTACTTGAAATTTCTTGGGGAAGCAGTCCTGTCAGGAAGGTTTTAGAGACTATGCCAGTTTAGACATCTTGCTCTCCAAGCTAGAAATGACGTAGATATTGATTGATGCCATATTAAATAAAAATTTTCTTATAGATTTGAGCCTTAATCACAGAGTATGGTGTTAGTATTAATTTCTTTCTTTGTAGTTCTGCCATACTGGTCTACTTGCTTTTTCTCACAAATGACATTCCATTATCATTCTCTGTTCCTTTGCAGTGGTTGTGGGCATGATCCCTGCTCTAGCAAAGGTAAATCCTTCCTCTCCAACTCCTTAAATTCTACCCCTTGATGTAATGGTATGAAAACACTCCTCTTTGTCATAGAAGAGGAAGGAAAGAGAGAGATAGAAATAGGGAGCTAACAGTGCTGAATGGTGTTGGGCTAGGCTTAGGCTCTTATTGCCGTCTACTAGGCCTGCCCCCTCCCCCCATCCCCACATACTTTGGGTCCCAGGTAGCCAGTTGTGGTTTGAGGTTGGGATGTCCCTAGTTACTTCTTTAGGTGCTTGTCACTTGCTTGCCACATTTGTTTGCGTTATTAAGAACCTGAAACCACCTCCAGAAGCCACACCAAAGTAAAGCACACTGGTCTCTTTAGTCAGGTGTTAGGTGCTCAGGCAAGCAGAAGACATCCTCTGAATTGAAGTGGCCCTAGAAATGAGAATGGTCTCAGGTGTTCTAGACAGGTGCAGTGAGCTGAATCTTGGCTAACTTTCCTAGCGAATCTTGATGACTGATTTAGATGTTGGGTTGCTTGTTCTCCCCAGCATGCTGCCAGAAGGGTCCTGAT